GGGACACGCAGGCTCACACCCTCCCGCGCGCCGCGACAAACCTTCCGAGGGCCACGCGCGTCGGTCCCCACGCCCACAACACGCCCACCCGCGCGGGGCGCGCTGCTCAGCCCGCAGGCACACAACGTGCACACGACGGCAGGAACGCCTCACACGCGCAGCCGCCACGGCCGGACACGCGGCGCACGCGTCACACCGGCACACAGTGTCACACCACACGGCGCGCGTGTCACACCAGACCCCCATCTTTGATAAGACTCCCATGACCTCTGCCCTTTGCTGCCCCACCAAGGAGCTGTCCTGAGCGTGAGGGAAAGTGCCAGGGCTGGCCGTCTATTGGGGGACACTGAGGCCCCAGAAGGGCAAGCACTTGCTCAGGTCAGTAGCAGATGAGCCGCCTGCTGAGATCAAGAGCTGGTGCTCCCAGACGGTGCTCCCTGAGGGCCCCAGTGACCCACAGCTGACCAAGGCACTAGAAGTGCTTCCGTCACAGGAAGAGCCGTGTAGGAGCTCTCTGAACCGTCTAATGGGGACCCCACGTTTCTCAAAGGGTATTCCTCCAGATGCTGGTCCCAGAGATGCTTGCAGGGAGGGTCTGTGGTGAAAGTCAAGTAAGTTTGAGGAAGGTGCAGCCATACTCCCCTCACCCCTTGGAAGCTGGTGGTAACTTGCCATGATAAGGTCTGAGTCCATGCCCTTATCTGCTGGTGCACGCCATACCACTTCCCTATGCGTCAGTAACTACCAGTGGTGGGCTGGCCAGTTAGCTCAGCTGGTTAGAGTGCGGCCTTATAACAAGGTCAAGGGTTGGGTTCCCCATACCCACCAGCCACCAAAAACAAGAAACTGGAGGAACAGAGGGGCCAGAGCTGGTACAAGAAAGAGGTGTGAGCTCCCGAAATGCCTTCTGCACCCTCTGAATTAGATGCCATGGGCATGTGTTAGTTATCCAAAGAAATAAAAGTTTTCAACCATAAAGGCTCTGAAAAACCCTGCAGTAGAGAAACTGGTTTAACATTATATTTCCTGGTGTTCTTTCCCAACATTGATTAACCACAGGCTTTTTTTTTTTTTTTTTTTTTTTTTTTTCACTTGTTTTTGTCTTGGGTATCACCTGTTTACATGCAGAAGAAATGCTTTGGAAGGACTGAATTCTAGTGTAAATTCCTCAATTAAAGGAGGAGGAAGCAGAGGCCCAGAGAGCACAAGGAACTCAGCCAAATTCACACAGCGAGGCAGCAGTGAGACAAGGCCAGCCCAGCCCCTGGCCTCTCCCTGCTCCCAGACTCTGCATCGGGGCACACTCCGGGACCCTTCCCAACACATACCTTCCCTCTCTGTGGCACCAGCACCCAGCCTCTGGCTACCCTCCCACACTGAGCAGCTCCTCCCACCAGCAGCACTGCTCATTGTATTTTTAACTTGGCCAGGAGATCAGGATGGAAGCCTTGGAAAATGAGTCTGTGGTTAATTATTTTCTCATCAGATTCCTAAATGGGGCCCAGAGATAAGGCGCAGAAACCAAGAGGTCTGCAAATACATGGACAGAGAAGTCAGGGGCCACTGGGTCTGAATAGGGCAGATAGCTGGGCATTCCTGGAAAAGCTGCAGAGTTCCTGTGGGCACCACTCTCACACATTCACGTCCATAGCTACACACACAGGCACAGTCACAAACACACATGCGTGTGACACACACAAGCACGCGCCTGCTGTGGGCATTGAGCCAGGCAGGAGGCAGACAGGACATATCCACTTCCCCACAAACAGCAGAGCCTCCTCATCTGTCTCCTGTCCCTGGGCATCCACAGCACCAAGGGTAGAAGTGTGTAATTAGCATCACCTCTGTTACTGTCCCCTGTGGGTTCTGCTACATTCATCCCCTCTTTAGAGCCACACCAGGAAGGCAAGGACTGCAGCGGGGAGACGGAGGATCTAGACCTTGTACTAGGGACCCTGGGTTCCTCACCGCCCCCCCTCCCCCCGGCTCACCACCATGAGTTTTGTTCTTCTCTGAGTCTCCATTTCCCCGTCTGCAAAAGCCAGGCAGTGAGTAATCCCAGCCACACCTAGAGAAGAGGACAGTCTAGGGAGCAGAGAAAGTGCCCTGGAGACCTACATTTGGCCTTAGCTATGTCTCCTTGGACAAATTCCTTCCCCTCTCAATTTCTACATCTGGAAAATGGCATAATAGTCCCCACTATGCAGAGAAGGCCTTTGAGCTGCAGTTCATCTGTGAAATGGGCACAGGAACACCAGTCCTCTTCCCACTCATTACAAAGCGTGTCTCAGACCAGTCCATGTCCCACCACCTCTGGCCCCACTGGTCCAAGCCACGCAACCCCCACCCATGGGGCTCTGGGCTACAGTATGCTCTCCCCTCTGCAGCCAGAGAGGAGGTGTTAAAAACAGAACACGTTTCTCTCAGGCTTAAAGCCTCCCAAACGTCTCCCACCAAACTAGAATAAAATACAAATTGTCCCCAGCCCTGCCAGCTGCCCCCGCCTCCTCCCACTGACCCCACTCACTCACCAGCCTCATTCTATTTATGGAACCCGTCAGCTTTTGCCACCTCAGGGCCCTTGTCCAGACTGTTCCCTCTGATTGCAATGCTTGTCCCTCAGCTCCTAGCACAGAAGGTTCCTTCTAGCTATTCTAATGTCATCTCCCTTGGGACAGGAGCCTCCAGGAGGAGGGTTCCATGCGGCCCCTGAAGCCGCTCTGTACTGTCTGCTCTCCATCTTGGCACTCCCCTGGTGCCAGCTTTGCTTACCCGCTGTTGCCTGCTTCCACCCCAAGAACACAGCCATCCTTGGTTAGCAGGAGTGGCCTGGAATGTTCTAAGAACAGCGAGGACAAGGACTAGAGTGGGGAAGAAAGGAGGCTGGAGAAGTATGGGGTTTGGGGGCACAAGAAGAAGGCCTTGAGGGTCATTGGCAGAACTCTGGCCTTCACTTTTGTCAGGAGTAATACTGTATCATTATTGTCTTCCCCAAACCAGCCACAAAGTCCACAGAGCAGGGACCCACTTTTTCATTCATTCCTTCAAGGGTGAATGAATGGTCCCAGCACCTTCTCTGTTCCTCTTTTGCGTCCCAGGAATTTGGGTCTTGGTTTATCTAGTCTGTAAAT